CCATATCATACCCATTGCATTTATGCTTATCTCCATCTGTGGTCATGTTGGTTTTCAACTGAGATGATTCTCCACCTTTATCTATTTTCTAAAACTACATGTATACATAGGTATGGCCAAATTTTACTTGGTTAAGTCGACCATTTGTCTACAAATAGATAATCTGAAAAAAATAATCCTAATTGAGCAAACAACACACCTTGTATCCAGATTCCTCATACTGCACGTTCGATCTTCATAATATTCTCATATGATTTGATTGGGATGGAATTTTTCCTATTTGGAGGAGGAGGATGCCGCCATGCAGACACTCGTCATCAAAGGACTCATAACCAAGTCTTATCGAGGGCCATTCAAGAATTTTGAGAGTTTTAGATAAACAACGACGGCGAAGGTAAATTGCCAGAAGCAGTATCAGCGTCAGGAGGGCGGTCGGAGTTCATCTACACGGTACTCGATCACATCCTTCTGGTCACTAAAGCGAAAAAAGAGGCGGCAACAAGGGACGATGCTGCTCAACTCATGAGATGTATGACTTCAAATATTCTAAGGCCACTGACCGCGCAAGTTATCCCGATTCCAATAGCTGCAAAATGTAGCTACACATCGAAGGGACTCCGATCTAAAACCTTCCGTGGTATTTTATACTCACGCGACCCTTGGGAGTTCTGGGCATGTGATGCAAACGGAAACTACAGCTGAAGCGAGATACTTCCAACCACCAAGCCAGATGCCACGGTCTTGACCTTGTTTGAGAATCTTGGACTTCTTCTCGAGATTACCTATTGTGCTTCTTTTGAAGGATACATAGAGGCTCTGGAGGGCTTTATAAAGCGTAGTGAGGACCAAGTAAGTGTACTCACTCATGTGAGATCCTTTTGCTTTTGATTCAAACAGGTGAGAAGACTGGCATGCACCACATGCGTTTTCTTGTGCGCGCGTACCAGGGTTACCGCAATGGAGAAGCACAGCCGCCAAGCTTGGTCAAATGGATGGCCGCAATCACATTAGATTTATAAGCAACCAGCGCGTTCACCAAACCAAAAAGTGCCAAGGATTCCGTGACGTTCCATGATGCAATGAAGGAGTTGCACGAAAGGTAAAGAAAAAAGTTGTAGCTCGTTTTCATCAATCAGGATCGTAATCACTTTTTGTTGCCTACTATAACCATTAACCATCCTTCTTATTTTGTAGCTTTGGAAGATTACCCGACGAGCGTGATCGAAAATTGCCGGGGTACCTCAAGGCATTCAAAAACTGTATGCTCGCAAGGTATTAACTGGGTTTATCATAGCGTGATAGGCTCGCTCATAAAATAGTTCTTTTTCAAGTTTATCGGTGATTTTGATTGTGGTTTGCCGGGATCAGGCCTTACTCTTACAGACCAACAAACAAATAAGATCTCAAAGAAGCACTCATTCAATTCAAGTCCCATATCACAATGGAATAAGAACATATGAAAAAAAAAGAATTTATAAGGGGTAAATAGACACTTGTAATTTTCAGTAATCAATCTTATCAATGATATTTCGCTCGTGTGTTGTATGTGCAGCTAGCTTCTTGAACAGGTGAATGAATAGACTAAAAGTTGTATTTCATAAGTGCCAGCTTAAAGAAATACAAGGTAAAAAGAAGCAGAAAAGAGAAATAATAATCACCTAAAAAGTAGTAGATGGCTAATGATAAGAACAACAATATACTTGGATAATATAATAATAAGTAAATAAAAAGAGAAGTCTAAAAAAGGAGAGTAGGTCAATATAAGAACAGCAATGAGAAGAGACCAACAAGAACCTACCATGATTGAGGACAGGTTTCAGAGAAGAAGTAATTGGTGGGTTGTCAAATAGAAGGGAATGGTTTGATGCAAGGATCAAAGAGGATGAGTGACAAGATAAGACGAGATAAGATGTTTGACTTAAGAGGATGGTTGTGAGGATGAGTAATGCTGTAGGACAAGAGAAGATGTTTGTCTTATGAGGATACTAAACACAAGATAAGATGATAAAGAAAGAGGTTATGTTGGATTCAGAGAAAGATCACAGTCAAGTAAGAAGTTTGACGATGGAGGAACTGGTGAAATGTGATGAGGTCCTATGTGGGAAGGAGAATAGTCAAGAGAAGAGGCAAGGGATTATGAGGAAAAGAAAGAATCAGGACAGAGCAAGATAGCAATGTTGTAAATGAATAAGAGGGTTCAGGTGCAATGATGCCATTGCAAAGGCTTGAGTACTTTGAGGGTTCAAGTGCAATGATGTCATTGTAAATGTATGAATATTTTGATCTTGAGTATAACAGTAGTCTAGAGTTTTAGAGGATGCATGAGCTAAAGCTTAGAGCAACTCCACTGCGGCCCCTATTTTTGGGTGCTAAATTTTGATTGTTGGGACTGCGAAGCCAACTTTACAGCCTCAAAGTGCTGTGACATACACCACAAGAATCTTTAACAATTTGTGAAAGTATATATGAGTGGTGTGTGAAGTTGGAACCAAGTTGTATTGAGGTAGTAGAGTTTCACAAGTTAGTTGTTATGTGAAAGGGGATTGGGAGGTCAATAGAGCAGTCACTAGGAGTCCCTATGTAAGTACTTGGGCACAAAATTTAGGGGCGGCTGTAGATTTGAGATTCAAATAGTGGCCGTGGTGGCTCATGTTGGGTCGGTAAATTCGAACTAGGGACCCAATTTACCGCCCGTGGTGGAGTTGCTCTTAGACATCAACAGAACAAAGCACACGTCTGTTATGACAACTGTCACCAATAAGCAATCCTTACTCAGGATGGCTGTTCCAATCTGAAAATTCATTATTATCTATTTAAAAATTCAAAATATGGTAAAAATAACATCATAAATGGATTCCTCAGGTAAAATAACCCCTAGTCACTCACTACAACTACCCCCATATCTCTACTAGTTCAGAAGTTACACTTATCTCAAGATGTCACCAGATCTTTTCTTTATTATTATTCTGACCACATCTCATTTTGAATACTGGATGCATATTGGGTATTGAATTCCTTTACTAGCTCATAGTTCATATTGAATTCCTTTCTAGGTGCACATGCATTCCTGTCAGCTCTGGTCTCTTATGTGACCAGGAGTTGATGGGGTATTGGGTCACACTATAGCCACAGAGGTGGCCAGTGGAAATAAGCCTCACCTCAATGCTAGAAAGCAGAGGGGTTAGCTCCCTGGGTTAGAGGGAACGACAGTGGAATGAGCATCACCGCGCCAAGCTTAGAGCAGATCAAAAGAGGCTCTCTTCTAGACTACAGACGTAGTGACTTAACTGTAGTCTAGGCTAGTATAATAAGGATAAGGATGGAAGGTAGATAGAAAAGGGATAGTGTACTGCTAAAACCCCACTCACTAATAGGGTCTTAGTTAAACGA